ACTTGAAACATTTTGCAATCTTTTATTCTCTTTGCAATCATACGCCACGTACAGTTTTTGTCAATCATACACCTTGTTTCGAAACGATCTTTGCTTGATTTGTTAACTTTTAGTTGATAGCCATCTTCCACACATTTTGTATACAAAGCTATCTTCAAGTCTTCCTTTGTATCAAAACAATCATCTTTCTTGACACGAATAACTTTTGTGTAACAATCAACTGCTTTCTTTGCCAACTCTTCTTCCGGTAACTGAAGTAATTCTGGCATATTCCAGTTATACTCCCGTGGCATTTTCTTTTCTTCGGGGACTTTTCTTCTTCTTTTTCTTCTTCAGGATTATATGAATTACAGAATGGATGTTCAACATGTTCATTCACAGTCGTAACTTCCTCCTCATTATCATCAACAACATCTTCCTCGGCAACGGGTGTTTCATCATCAAAATTCGGGTATTGACCAATATTAAAATCATTACACACATGGTCTGTTTCTTCTTCTGAAACATCATCAAAATCCGTGTATTGACCAATATCAAAGTCCGGATATTGACCAAGACCAAATTTCGAATACTGACTAGTACTCACAATTTTTTTGTTGGCTCATCATCGTCTAACTGGTCAATACGAAAACCGGAATTTGGTGCTGAAAGTTGATTGGGATTTGGATTAGAGAAAGGTTGTGGGTTTTGAGAAAAACTTAGTTGATTACTACCCGCTACTGACCCAACAATACTACTTCTAGGTTCAACAACATACAATGTAACATCATCTTGTGAAACACTAATGTAAGCAATGAATCGTTCAACATCTTCATTGTCGGTTAACAAATAAACTTTACCATTTCTCTGATAAGATAGCCTAAATCCACTTAGGGGCTCTAAATTCAATTTATTTGAAACACGTAGCATTAGAGTTTCATAAGTTAACTTTTGTAAAGACAATTTTAGTTGAAGATTCATGGGTAAAGGCATATATTGTAAAACACCATGAACATTATCCCATGACCCTCCAAAACACAAATCTATCCAAACATGATCAGATGATTTCATGGTTGTAAATTAATTTACTAAACAGACGAGCTGCGAAACTAAAACCTGTTGCCGGATTGGGAAGGATGTCGTTGGATATAGGAACGGATGTCGCCGGAGAGAGTGATAGATGGAGATGGAATGAGTTGCGATTTAGGGATTTAGTTTATGATTTCAGTGTTATATACCCAAAATTTCAGTGTTGTGATTTACAGATTCTCGTTGCGATTTACGGATTATCGTTGCGATTTACAGATTCTCGTTGCGATTTACGGATTATCGTTGCGATTTACGGATACGCGTTGCGATTTACGGATTATCGTTGCGATTTACGGATACGCGTTGCGATTTACGGATACGCATTGCGATTTACGGATACGCGTTGCGATTTACGGATACACGTTGCGATTTACGGATACGCGTTGCGATTTTATGTATTATCGTTGCGATTTACGGATACGCGTTGCGATATACGGATACGCATTGCGATTTACCCATACGCGTTGCGATTTACGGATACACGTTGCGATTTACGGATACGCGTTGCGATTTATGTGTTCGCGTTGCGATTTTCATATTCGCGTTGCGATTATTGAAAATCGCAATGCGAATTTGTACTATCGCATCGCGATTTTCAAGAATCGCGTTGCGATTTTGGAAACTGATTTGCGATTCTGGGGATCGCGTTGCGATTTTTATTTCGCGTTGCGATTTTGTTGGTCATTTTGGCAAATCCAAAAAAAGTTGGTTAAAATCGTATATTATAACTTTTTTTTGGTCACTGAGGCGATTTTCTCTTATTTTATTCATGATATTTTTATGATAAACTACGCATTTAGTACCTAAACTATCAATTTGATCTATTTTAGTATCTAAACTTTCATTTTTTTTAAAACCATACCTAACGTTTAGTTCTTGTTTCATTTTAGTACACATGGTTAAAAACTTAATGGATGGGCTCGCTGGTCTTCGCGTCTATAATCGTTAGTCGTCACATTCGTTGACCAATGAAGCCCAAACTTTCTTCATGGTCAACCGTATGATGGGCCTGAATATGAACAGGTCAACTCATCTTTTTCTCATGGTCCACCATTTAGATTGGTCGTTCATCCACCAGAATTATGCCATGCCAGCCCGTCCGATAAGTATTTAATGGTGGAGTACTAAAATGAAATAAAAATTAAACATTAGATATAGTTTTAAAAAAAATGAAAGTTTAGGTACTAAAATAGGCCAAAGTTAATAATTTAGATACTAAAAGCGTAATTTATCCTATTTTTATTTGAATTTATTATCGAAGTACACGCGAAATGAAATTTAGATGGCATAAATTTATTTGTTTTCATATTAAATATTTTATTTAAGATTTAGATCTAAAGGTGTAATACTTTAGAAGAAAATATCCGGAAACTTTCAAAGCTCCGTTGGATCAAATTCGTTCTACATCAACCGAGGTCATTCAACGGACCTCTCCATCGATCAGAGCCTTCTACTAGTCTACATTCTTTAAATATAGGTTTTTAGTCAATTAAAGTATATTGATAAGATCTCTAACAAGTTCACGTGATATTTTAAAGTAAAATCTAAGGTCTAAATATTAAATTTATCTAGTCTGTCGACTTACAAATAGTCATAATGACCCTACGTTTGACACACGCATTAAAGGTCACTATAAATAACCCAATCAAAATTAGAAAGAAGATATATCGTCCATTACCACGACTTACCCTTTTTCTTTCTCATGATGACTCATTCTCTTTTTCTCTCTCAAACATCGACCAATATTCATTCTCTTATCAATTGTGACTTTCCACTCAAACCAAAAATTGTGAACTGTTTAAATAATCTTGTTGTCATCGTTAATTGGTGTGGTGAGGATGGACAAACCTTATGATCAAAAGAATCAATCGAAATCTCACCCAAAAAAATAAAACAATTAACATCACCTTCCCACAAAACCAAAACAGTGATCATCGTCTCTAACAAGAATATTAAAGCAGGTCAGAGATGCCCATGAGGGGCAAAAGAAAGGTGAAAGGGAACGACGCAAGCTGCACCACAAGTCTTCTTCACCAAAGTTGACATTTTTGTGAACTTCTTTACCTAGAACTCATACGCCACCTCTTAATTAGGGATTCAATTATAAGAATGGAAGGTTCGAGTTGTAGAGAGGCATATCGATCATGGAGAAATGGACGCCAATGCCTCACGTCTGCTTGTGGAAAGGGTGGAAGTGCAAAGAAACATCCATGAAGAGCATAAGGAGTCGTGCCTTGGATGACAGCACCTGTAGAGGCGACATGGAAAAGCACACACAACCGCTACAATGGCCCTCCATAAAGTCTCACAGGCATCAACGAGCCTGAATACTTGAATGTACACCTGAATCGTGTATCTGGAAAAACCATCTCCTAGGATAGCATGTAATTTTAGAATACTTGATGCATACAAGCATCTTTGGTATCTCTGTCTTGACCTCAAATCTCCTAGAACGTTCCTATTATCCTCTGTCATGCTACCATGACGTTGAATTGTCTTTAATGTGCTGTCATAGTATAGATGCTCCTAGTTTTTAGTTAAAGAGTGTTGAGTTGCCTTTAGCCCTACTTACGTCCATGAAATGGCCCGAGGGGTCGAGATGTCTCCGATTCGATATTAAGATGCCTTTATCCTGGTACCGTCACGATAAAGATGTTTTACTTTTACCTGTAGAGGATGGTATGCGTAAAGATGCATCCGCTCCTACTACAGTGCACTATCATAGATTGAGTAGCCTCATCTACCTTGTTAAATAGTGTTGAGATGTTTCACACACACTTATCAAATAAACATGACTACAATTTATAAATCAACCAAAAGTGTTGATAGCTTCTACTCTAATGGAGTACTAAGATATCTTCGTCTTGAATTGGCAAAGACGCCTAAGTTTTACCTGTAGTTTTTGGTACGCGTAGAGATGCCTCTACTCTCATTGCAATGCGCTACCACAAACTAAGAAACCTCTTTTACCTAGTCGAATAGTGTTGAGATGTCTCATACATTATTCTCAAACAAACATGACTATGTTCTAAATATCGATCGAAAGAATTGAGAGCCTCCGCTCTAACAGAGTGTTAAAATGCATTTGCCTTGAATTGACAAAGATGCCTTTTTTTAACATACGGTGTATGGAACACATTGAGATACCTCCACACCAACCGTAATGCACCACAGTAGATTGAAAAACCTCATCCACTTGATTGAATTAAGCTAGGACTCATCGCATCTTTCTTAGACAGACAAGATTATGTCTCTAAACCAACTAAAAGAGTTGAAAGTCTATACTCTGACAGAGTGTAGATACACTTCCACCCCGGAGCCGGTAAGATGCCTCCAAAAACTTTATCGAAGTAGGGATGTCTCCCACTCTTGATGGTACAACGCAAAGTCATCTACAAAGAATACTTCAAAACATAACTATTTAGAATAATATTATTTTATGTATTTAATATTAATATAATATTATATTATCATTTTTTAAAAATTAATTATTAAAATATATTTATTAGTAATTTTAGTAATATAATATTACATTTTTCAATATTATAATAACATGCTCAATTATATTAAAATAAAAATATTATATTTTAATATAAAAATATTATTATTTTAATAATATAATTAATAATATTAGTTTATTAATAATATAAAATATAAAATATTCTTATTCTAACGAGTAATTAATATAATTAATAATATTTATATTTTAATAATATATTAATCTTAATGTTTTTATTTATAAAATTATAAAAAATATTTTAATAATAATATTAGAATAAATTACATTAAATAAATTATTCTAATAATTTAAAAATAATAACAATAATTTTTAATATTATTTATTATATTCAATAAAATAAATTATAGAAAATTTACCAACAACAAAATGATTTAACATAAATCTAACTCTTTATAACGGTTGCCGCCATAAAATCAAATATTACAGATGGAGAAGACCCGAGGAGGTGAACTAGAACGCCTATACAATTTAGTATAAAACTACCAATCCTAACCATATATTTAAGCTTTAGTTCTTGCACTTCGCAAACTAGATACCTTTTTTTCCTTAAAACAAAACCTAGGCTTTTACTTTATTCACATAGAGACGCACAATGTCAACATATCATACAAAAATTGTAGAGACTCGATGCACGCTAAACCGAGAGCACATACTACCTAATCATGGAGCAACCTAGTCGACTTCGGAATTGAAACCGAGCACATATTCCCTAATCATGTAGCAACCTCGTCTACTTTGGAATTGAAAACAAAGCTTGGAAATGTTGTTGTTATGTCCCTGCATGATTCGTATTTACAAGAATAATGAGCTTCCAGGACAGTTATGTTTCTAGGTAAGCTGGGTATAATATCAGTAAATACATACCTGAGATATGGGAGAGTCATGATTTTTAGCAAAGAAGGATTACGCGCCACAAAGTTTCGCCATTCAAATATGTCTATCTTTCCATCATTATTAATGTCGGCATCCAAGAATGTCTGTTCATAAATCCCCATGTATCAGTAAGAAGTTGCATTACGTAAAATCCCAACAAAGCGTTCGGAAACAACTATTCGTATTAGCGAAGACTACTGAATATTCAGTTTTACCACAAATATTCTCACCTTATCAAGAATAGCCTCAATAATTTCATCAGCTAAATTCATTTCAGATTCACCTAAAAGTGCAATCAGCATTAGCTTGACCTGCAAAAATCACATCAAAAGATAAAGCTGCATGAAAAGAGGTTTGTGTGATATATAATAAAAAAGCATATCAGGCCCAAAATACCTCATTACGCTCAATAAAACCAGTTCCGTCCATGTCATAAAGTTTAAATGCAACTGCAACGTAAAACTATTATTAGCTTTGAGATGGTAGATTAACATTTTTTACGCAATTCATACCAACTGCTTACTTACAATCAGTCTTGACCTCTTGAGAGGCATTTGGATGGAAGATGTTGAGTGCTCGAACAAAGTCACCAAAATCAATGACTCCCTTCTTCTTAGCATCGAATAAAGCAAAGATCTGCATGCATTAGAAGGTTGCAAAAAGACCAAATGTTAAAAGCAGCTGGTCGAGGTCGGGCATTTTATTCATAACGAAAAAACATGAATCTGTGCAAATAAAAGAAACCAGATTACTAGATCTTGCATGTATTAATAGGACTGAGAGGCATCTCTCATAAAGCAATAGAATTGTATGCATAATATTTCGAAAAAATAGAAGTGATAAAACAAACTTCTATGCTAAAATTATTATGCAGTTAGATCACTCGTTGCTAGACATCATGCCTCTCAAACATAGTTTAGACAAAAGCATAATGAAAGAATGTAATGACATTTAATTTCCCATATGGATATAAAGTAGCAAAAGAAATTACCCGATTTGCAAAAATGTTTTCCTTCTTCCTATTCATAAACAGAGCTAACTGAAACTCTTCCTGCATGTAGAACAACAATGTCACGAAAATCATGCAACACGTCAGATGTAATCATCTTTATCTTAAACCAATTTTTTTTTTTCAAAAAAGAAGTCTTATTGATACAGAGGAAGCCATGACCAGTACCTTGTTAATCAGCCCATCATCAATCACAGAACTGCTGATGCTCTTGAATAGCTCAAATAGTGCTTCAACTTCACTAACACTAACTGTATATGCAAGCAAAACCAACCGAGACAAGTTAGAATCCTACATAATCTGCATTCCAAACTGATTAAAACAATCCAAATTTTCTCAGGAAATAAGAATTCCGGGGTCATAAAAGATCAACAAGAACCCAGAATAATTGGGGACATTTCCTTCTTAGTTTACATGATTATTGAGTAATGAAGGAAAAATGTGTAATAATTTGCTAACTTACAGGCAGTTTGTGAAGCGAGTACAATGGGGTCTTCGTGTTCTGCGTATTCTCTTGTTACTTTAGAATGAAAGCAGCCCATTTACTGGAAAAGAGAATAAATCTAAACACAATGGTGGTTCTAGACTATAGCACCAATACTTTACTCTGTTCTCCCTGCAAAGACATTATAAACCTGCATGTTTATTAACATTAAAAAAAATGGAATACTCTACTTTAAAATCAAACCAGGAAAAAAAGATAGGATAAAGTTTAAAAAATATATCGAAATTGTGCTGAAAACATAAGAAACATTTCAAATAGGCGGTGGAGTAGCGACGTCGATGTCTCTATTCCGCGGTAACGGAAGCGTCGACCACCGCTAAAGATCTTAAAGATAAGGGTCCGCTATTTCAGCATAACCGAACCATAAACAAAACCCGATTGGAAATCTTAAATATAAGTTTAGGGTTTCACAAAGTACCTTAAACAAATTCCTGGTTTGGCCTGCAAGAAAGGTGAAGGCAAAAGAGGGTTCGGGTGAGGGAGTGGAGGAGGAGGAGAGGCATAATACAGGAGCAAGGGTCGGTCGGGAATTTTTCATAAATCATTTTCTTGAGAGCCAAGAAAACATTAACAATTCTTAGACAATTATTTAAACGGTTCTAGTCTCTACAACTTATTCTGTTTCACGCGAATGGAGAAAAGCGCTTTCCACCACTCATTAAAACCTATGGAACATTATTTTTCATTTTTTAAGATTATAATTTTATTATAAAATAGAGAATATAAAATTAAAAGAAAAATTAGGAAAATAAATATGAAAACAATGATGGGAATATGTTTAAAAATCAATCATGTCTCATGAATAAAGTTATTGCATCCTACTCGAGATTGATTCGATCAAAATTTAATAAATACTTAACTCAAAAAGACTTGACTCGAATTTTTAACGAGCCAAAACGAACTACTTCATACTCGACTCAAAAAACTCACGAGCTACTTAAAAAAAATAATATATTAAAATTTTATTTTTTAAAACTTAAATTATTAATAATATTAAATTTTATAAGTTGATTTTAAAAAATACAATATAAATATATTTAATATTTAGGTTTGAGTTCGAGTTTGAGTTTGAGTTTGAGCTTTAACTGTGTTAAGTTTAAGATTTTTTTTTATTTCGAGCTTTTTTTTTAGCTTTAATTCATGGTTTCGAGTTTGATTAGAGCTTGAAAATTTTATGCTCGCGAGTTTTCAAGCCGAATGGAGCTCTATTTCAAAATTTTTGAATCGAGTTAAACTCAACAATACTCAAACTCGACACAGCCCAACCCTATATCTCATGATCTTAATATCTATAATTTTCAAGTAACATGTAGTGCATATTCAACTTTTTGGAATAATGCTAAAATTAGCCCTTCAACTTTATAAAAAAAATCATTTTTGTTCATATTTTTTCTTAGAGCATTTTGGTCATAACGTTTTATTTTAAGATAAAAAGACTCGTAATATTTTACTAAATAGTCACATTGGCTTTTTTTTCCCTTTTTATGGAACATTTTGACACTCAATATTTCATTTTTTTAGCAAAATACCACTCAATGATGAAAACTATTAGTTCACCCATTGAAACAACAATCATGAAATATTTTTACTTCTTTGAATAGTTTGGGGTGATTACAAGGTAATATATATTCATAATTTTTTTAACCATTGACAATATACATACACTCTAAATACACAGTAGTTCGAATCTAGGATCTCAAGAGAGAACAGTACTCCCTTTAACTACTAAAGTCAGTGATGGATATATATGTACTTCAGGATAGGTACGTGCCCACCTTAAAATATAAATTTTCTTATGTTAGTTGTTCATTTTACAGGTGTTCACCCTAAAATTTTATTCGTGTTTATCTATACAATTTTTTTTATTATTAATAATAATTATCTACCTAAAAAAATATTTCTAGATTTATCAGTGACTAAAACAACTCAATGTATTCGCATTAATGAAGTATTTGGTTTGAAGTAACCGAGTGAAATTACATTTGGTTTCCTATGAAAGGTTTAATAACATTAATAGTAGAGGTTTAATAGCATTAATAGTAGTTTGTTCCAACGTCAGACAAATGCAAGGATGGCATGATAACGAGACACTAAGGTCAGCCCTCTATTCTAGACAATTTACGTTATAGATCATTGATTTTAACTTTAAATTTTAAATGGATCATGAAATTTTAATTTCATAAAATTACAACATTCAATTTTAATTTCTGACTAATCGAGTCAATTCTATTAACATTGTTTATTAACAGAAAATTAAACCAACACTCATACTTTACATATACTTCACATGTCAACATATTAATATTTGATTGTCATTTTAAACAAAAAGTTGAAAGTTTTTCACGCACTGAATTTAAAGAAAATTTAAAATTTCAATTGTACAAAAACAAATCATAATCAATTTAGTGTAACTTTATCTCATTCCTCAAAAGATTGAAAGACATCGGTAAAAAATGATTTAGAAGGTCGAGTAATTTGATTTAACTTATTGTAATTTTATTTTTACACCATTAAAAACTATTTTTTTCTAATAATTTACTGTTAAAGAAACTTAAAAACACATTAAAATGTCAACTAGATATTAATTTTTTTATATGTGAAAAATCTGTAAAATAGGAGTGTTGGTTTTAAATTTTATGTTAAATAATTTAACATTGTTAGTATAAGAGGCTTGATTTTATTTATAATTAAAGGAGAACGATATAATTTGTTGAAGTTAAAGATTTTTAATAGATTTAAAAGTTGAGATTAATTATATAAATATTTAATATAAATATTTGTTAATATTTAAAATATTTTTCATAGAAGGTTTTTGTTTTAGGGTAAAGTATAAAAATGGTCTCTAACTATAGGGTGCTGCTTTGTTAATGTCATTGACTATTTATAGTTATAAAATGGTTCCCCAATTATAGGATATTCCTTTGATGAGTCCCCGACTATTAAATATTATAAAATGATCATCCTACTATTTATATGTTCCAAACTCATACATTTACGTTAAAAAAATTAGCGGTCGTATGATCCCATAACCATTTGAGTTTTATTTTATAGATTGACTCTTCGTTTATATTATGTCGTCGAGTTAGTGCTTGAAACATTATGTCATCAAGTCAGTGCTTGAAAACATTGGAGATGATAGTATACATCATTAAAATATTATTTTATCATATCTTAGTCAGCATATTAATGTCTAGCTCAAACGACCGTCAATTTTTAATGAAAATGAACGAGTTTGGAACATATGAATAGTCGGCTAAACATTTTGTAACTTATAATAGTCGAGAGACTCAACAAAACAACATCCTATAATCAAGAGACTATTATGTAATTTTTAATAATGGTAAGATTTAATAAAATAACACTTTATAATCGGGATTATTTGTATACTTTACCATTTATTTTAATATGTATAGAATTTGGACGTCCAAAAGCAAGATATAAAATGAGAGCGAAGAAAAAAATGTAAAAAGCAACAAAAAGAATGTGGACTGCTGAGAAGAAAGCAACTGAAGAAAACAAAATAGGGGGAAAAACGCCCAAAAGTCCAATACCAAAGCTTAAATATAAAATTGTGTTCAAATCATGTATATATATATATAATCTATATGTTTTATTTTTTTTATGATTAAAGTAAGTGTTTAATGTCACGAATATTATCTGTAACACCCCAATTTAGGGGCTAAATTTTAGAATTATAAAGTGGTAAATTTAATTGGAATTTTGGAAAAAATTGAGGATTAAATTGTAAAATCGTAAAGTTGGTAGACCATTTTATAAAATACAAAACATATAGTGGTTAAACTCATAAATTACCCATTTTTAGGAGAAAATATAAACACATTCCCGTATGTTTTTCTAGAAAAATTTTCCAGTTTCCTCCTCCTTCAACCCTCCTTTCAACTCTGATCTACTAGCCGTCCGACCTCCGATCGACGAACCGAAACTACCATCGTGTTCGTTGTCGACCGAAGAACATAACCCCTCAAACCTTTCGTTATGAATCATCGTCGTTCGTCGTTAATTTCAGTTGGAAGTATTGTCGGTTTTAACTCGATTTCAGTTGGTTTTTCATCGATTCACGACGATCCAGTCATCCGTTTTCGACACCTCCCGCACCATCGTGTTCCTTGCATCGTTCTGAGTCCACCGGTGTTCTTCGTTTCTCCGTCATCCCTGGCGTGTGTAGGGGTGAGAAAATCAAAATTTTCGATGTTTCGGAATCGAGCCCTCCACCGTTCAAAATTGTGAACCGAGCTCGATAAGTGTCTCAAAATGTCTTAAAATAATTTTTAAGAATTTTTTTTGGAATTTTCTGACACCGTATCACTGTTCACGTGCTGCACGTGCCGCCACTGCGCGTAGGGGTGTTAATTTTGTAACTAATTTCTGTTAGGGTGATATTTATGTAAATTTCGGGTGTTAGTTTTCTAAATATTTGTAGAAGGTGGATAATTTTGTAATTAATTTATGTTAGGGTGATATTTGTGTAAAATGATCGACTGTTGATTGTTGACATGCGTTGATCATTGACCGGCGTTGACCACCGTTGACCAGAACTTTCACCGGAGTTGACCGGGCGTTGAATGACCTTTGACTTTGACCGAGTATACTTATTCTGACGTTTTTCGACGTCCTGAGTCCGATTCCATAGTCCATTTTTTGAAATTCAGACCCGAAAACCTCAAAATTGCCAGTCAAACCCGTTGACTTTGACTTTAACCAAAAAATAAATTTTTTTGAAAAGTCATATTTATGTTTTCGACATCCTAAATCTATTTTTGGGGTCCGTTTTGCCAAACTCGAACCCGGTAAGCTGTTTTTGACTGATTTATCATCCGATTCGATCCGTTTTTCAGAATTAAGCTCCGTTTTTTATGTAATTTTTGTTCATATGCATATGAGGAATTATTGGAAGTTGATTTCAAGATCGAGGGTGTTTAAATGGAATTTAATGGTTGATCAGTATGATACGAAAATCAATGTAATACATTACTACCCTTTTATGCTTTATAGAACATGTTGGTATTGATAAATGCATAAATGGAAATGTTTGGTCTCATATGTGTAATTAATGAAGTTCTACACTCGATACGAATGCTGTAGAAAGTAGGTAACTGAATATGGCTCAAATGATTATTATAAGAATTTGGAGGACAATTGGAATTAAATTACAAGTTCTGGAATTATGTGATAAAGGAATCAACCATGAATATGTAGATTATAATTTATCTCATTAAAGGTACTTAGATGATAAATTATGAGAATATTTCGATTAGGTAAAATTACGAAAATACCCCTATATTGTAAAATGGCAAGAATTATCCCTGGAAGTTTATTAATAACTCTGAAAAGGAATATTGACCTGATAAAATTACTGATATGAATAAGAAATGCTAGTTTTACTTAGAAAATGCATATAACTGGTTTTTAAACTCAAGAGGGTTTGTGCAAGATACTAGAAGTCTGTTAAGGAATCATTTCAAGATCAGAGAATGTTCGGGAAAACAATTAACCATAGAATCTCTAAACAACCATTATTTTTGTTAAGAGTTAATACCGAAACT